CTTCTTTCTTGGGGCTTTTACTCCCCCTTTCCTTGATTTTTTTCTGGCATTTCTTGGGTTTTTTCTTCGTTTCTTCTTGCCCACCTTGGTTTTTTTTTTTTTCTGTTTTTTTCTTGCCCATCTTGGCGTTTTTTCCTTCCCCATTTTTTTTCCTTTTCTTTTTTTCTTTTCTTTTCTTTTTTTTTTTTCTTCTTCTTATTTTATTTCTACCCATCTAAGGGTTTTTGTCTGGTCTATTTTCAGGGATTTTTCTTGCCCATCTTGCGGGGTTTTTTTGGTTGGTTTTTTTGGTTTGTTTTTTTTTTCCTGGGCTTTTTCTTGTCCATCATGGTTTTTTTCTGGCTTTTTTTTTTTTTTCCTTGCCCTTCTTGGGCTTTTTTTTTCTGTTTTTTTTTTTTTTCCTGGGATTTTTCTCGCCCATCCTGGGTTTTGTTTCTGAATTTTTCTTGCCCAACTCTAGGTTTTTTTCTGTTGTTTTAAAATTTTTTTTCCCCTGGGTTTCTCCTTGCCCTCTTTGGTTGGTTTTTTTTTTTTTTGCCTGCCTGCCTTCCTTCCTTCCTGCCTTCCTGTCCTTTCTTTCTTCCTTTCAGTTCCTTTCCTTATTTTCTTTTTTTTCTTTTCTTTCTTTCTTTCCCTGTATGTCTAATCTTGGTTTTCCTTTCGAGCTTTACAATAAAAAAGCAGCAGTAGTAGCTTTCAGGCTACCTGGGAGTAAAAAAAACTGCAAAACGAAAATGATTTAAAGAAAACTATTTATTCCCTGGGAGCCTGAAATTTTCTACTGCTGCACGTGACATAGAGCTTTTATTCCTTCTTATAGATAGTTGATATTATATACTTACTTTATACAGCGCCCCCTGCCGTCTGCCCCGGCGCACTGCAGGCACAGCGATCCCTGCCGTCTGCACAGGCGCACTGCAGGCACAGCGCCCCCTGCCGTCTCCCTCGGAGCACTGCAGGCACAGCGATCCCTGCCGCCTGTACAGGCGCACTGCAGGCAGAGCGCTGCGGCGTTGTTCGGTTCTGTTTAATGAAACTCGGCTGAATCCGGCTTGGTTCGGCTCTTGGTCTAAACTCGTTTCAGTTCGGCTCTTCGGCCGAACTCGGCACGGTTCGGCTAAACTCGGTCATATTTGGCACATTGTCTAAATGCGGCCAGTGTCGGCTACACTCAGCTATCGGTTCCAGTCGGCTATCATCGGCTCTTGGTGTAAACTCGGCTGTTTTCGGCCACACTCGTCTATTTTGGGCCGCACTTGGCTCTTCGGTTCAAGTCGGCTGTTTTCAGCCACCCTTTGGCTCTTTGGGTAAACTCGGCTGTTTCCGGCCACCCTCGGCTCTTCGGGTCAACTCGGCTCTTTCCGGCCACACTCGGCTCTTCAGCTCTTCGGAACAATTCGGCCACCCTCGGCTCCCTCAGGGCGGGAAGGAGGCCGTCAGAGGACCCCGGCACAGCGAGGCGTTTAATCCAGATGCCTGGCACAAACCCGCCAAAATACGCCCGCCCACGGCGCCGCTGAGCCCACACTGTGTGTCGGGTACACATGAAACGCCACAGAAAAATCCGTCGGGGCCGCCATGACGTCGGTATTTCGTGCAGGCAGTCCACTTACACCCACCCTGGTCCTCCACTTCCACACCCTTTTTGCCGCCATGCTGAGAAGGTCAATTAAAAGTCCGCGACACCCGCGACGCGCCACTCCCAAGGTGGCGGCCTCTCGGTGCAGGGCTGCAGTACCGCGCTCTGCCCACAAGGCGGCAGCACTGCCGCACGCCCCAGCCGGGGGCGCAGCGCGCCTCGGGGCTGCGGGCAGGGAAGGCGGCAAAAAAGAACAGGGGCGGCCCCCGCCGAAAACTGCTCTGAAATAAATGCCCCAAAACAACCGCGAAGAGGAAAAATAAACTTCTGCCTCTAATCTAATAGGATAAAAAAAAAACAAAACAAAACCCCAACAATTTCTTAAAAAAAAAAAATTAAATATTTAAAAAAAGGGTTTTTTCATATTAATAATCACATTTCTATCAATAATGTATATTGATGTACACTGTCCATTTATACATTTGTTTTTATGAATACATTTCTATTCCATATTGCATATATCCCTAAAACTTAAATTTATTTGTATATTTTTATACGTATTTTTACATAGTAAGTATATATTTCTGTTAGGATTTTTACTTCTGTAACACTTACAGTACTCAAAACCCCTGCCTCTACCCCATACATGGCAAATAAAACCCCCTTTCATTTCAACTGTATTTAAAATTTTAAAAAAATTATTTTTCAAATTTATATTTAAAATGTTTACTGATGTATGATCGATTTTGCATTTATATTTAGCGATTTAGCTATAAATTTATATTCTATGTTACATGTGTTTCTATTACTTATATTTTTTATATACTTTTATTCATATCTTTATATATTTATTATATCTTTCTTTGTTAGGATTTTTACATCTGCAACACTTACATTATTTAAAATAAAACCCCTGCCTCTACCCACATTAAAGCCAAAAAGAACCCCAGTCTTCTCAACTGTATTTAAATATTTTTTAAAACTCCATTTTTCAGGTTCATATTCACATTTACATTTAAAATGTATACTAATGTATACTCTTATTTGTATTCTCCATTACATCTCTTCCTATTATTTCTATTTACTTATATTTTGTGTTTATATATATATTTAGATCTTGATTGTATATCTCAATATTTAGAAATATATAACAATAATATCTACATTCATATTATTTAAAATAAAAACCCTGCCTCAAACCCAATAATAAAAAAGACCTCAACCCTTTCTTTTAAACAATATTTAAATATGTTTTATCCTTATGTCTGATTTTTATATTCATATTTGTATTTATCATGTATATTAATGTCTATTGCTTACTTATACATTTATCTTTATCAATGTCAAGTTATAAACAAATTTATATTCTATATTACATCTGATGCGAGTAGTTATTTATATATTTTTATACATACATTTGTACATTGATTAAATATTTCCGCGTCAAGATTTTTACTTCTGTAACACTTAAAATATTCAAAAAAAACCCCCTGCCTCTACTTAAATAAAAGCCAAAACATTCCCTTTTCTTTAAGCTATATTTACATATTTTTATATTTATATTCCCATTTATAATTTATATTGCCGTATAATATTATTTATATTGTATACTACAACTCTTCATATTACTTCCATATATTTATATATAAATTTGTATTAATACTTTAGCGATTTCTCTTTATACATTTATTATATATTTCTATCTTAAGATCCACATTTCTATATTACTTACATTATTTCAAAGAAAACTCCTGCCTCTAACCAAATAAAAACCAAGGACACCCCTTTATGTGAACCAGATTTAAAATGTAGGAGGTAAATTTATTTTTCAAAATTATAATGATATTCATATGGATATTTTTATTTATTATATTCGTAGATATTATATATATTAGAGAGAATACCTTCTAATATAATAGATATGTATTTTCTGTATTATAGATTTCTTTTACTTATATTTATTTAAATTAAATATTTCTAGAGATTTGTATTTGTATATATATTTGTATATCTGAATTGATATTTTATTTCTATCATTTACTTAAAAACCCCAGCCTATAACCTAATAAAACCCCCCCATTTATTTTAACTCCATTTAAATATTTTCATATTAACTATCTATATTTATATATCTTTGTGTATATATATATATATAATAGACTATCATTTATCTATATGATGTTACAATTATATACCACGTATTACAGTTTTATGTATGTATCTGTTATCTATACTTATGTCTACCACTCTAATGTTATATTTATTTTTAAATTTATATTTATTTCTATTTTCATCTCTATATTAAACCATACAAGTTCATTAACCCCACGCACCAGAACCACAACAATACCGTACCTTTGTCAGCACCGGCACGCAGCACACGCTCGTCCCATCGCAGCGCATCAAAAAAAAACCCACTGCTATTACTAACGGAACAAACGTCCCACAATGTCATTGAACCCTAATAAAAACTCAAATAAACCTAACTGTCAATAAATTTTACATCCCACTATAAAGTAGCCCAAAACCTCCGCACATTCTCATCATAAACTTCCTCCTAAACCACTATCTCAAAAACCCCAAAAAACTCAAATACACCTTGAAAATGACACAACTGCTAATAAAAACAAACACCCAGTAAAAATTAAATCAAACCAACTCACGAGACTCAAAACTGTACAACTGACCCTAAACAGTACTAAAAAAAGTCCCCAAAGCTCTACCTTTATGCTAATGCACAAATAATAACCTATCATCTAGAAAAGTTATTTGAAAAAATTAAAAAAAATAATTAAAACCATGAAAATAAAAAATATCACTACCTAAATTAAAAAACGTATTGCCTATAAAAACCCACCATATAAATGCCCCTGTCCCAAAAAATAAAAAAAATTATCGAACCAGAAAGAAATCAGAACTTAGGAACACTAAAACCATAGCGTTCAAGAAGTCACACCACATCCCTTATCATACACCAACTACAAACAACAGAAAACAATACAATGAATTCTTAAAAACCACCTTAAAACCACTACATTGAAAAACCTTTCAAAAATTAAAAACTGCATTTAACAAAAGCCATCTCATAAATTCACACCCAAAACTCCAGCAGCCCAGCTGGCCCTACCAAAGCTCTATGTTTATACATACAGCAAACACAAACAAAAACAAAAAACAAAAATCCCAGTAAAACCGATCAGAAATCTATGAAAGAATCCCATTGAAATTAATCCTGCCTCAAATACAAACCAACCCATCCAGAAAGTCAGCTTCACTCAAAAAACAATTTACACAGAGTTAATAATACCAAGAAATAAAACAACACACCATATACCACCAATGAATATAATAGTCAAGTAAAAAAAAAACACTACATTTTTTTCTTTTTATTTCTTAAACTAACTTCTTTTATTAGCTGGAACAAAAGATTTTGCCAGGACTGTAACAACAACAACAACCTCTTTTTCTTCTTCTCCTTCTGAAATGTCCCTTCTCACTCCCAAATTCCTTTCAACCCCTGAGTTTACATCCAAGCAAAAAGCAAAACTCCTGCACTCATGCTCGTTCGCTGCTCCCATCAGATTCTCTGTTCCCCTCCACATCTTCTCACACTTTCAGTCTTCACGCTGTCCCGCCGTGATGAGTCTGACAGAAGAATTGGCACAAGTTAACAGAGCATTTCCCTCCCTCCCTCCGCTTTCCTTAGCGCATTTCAATCCATCCCAGGCCTGCAACGATGCACCCTCACCCCAAAGCTCACAGCAAGCGTGCAGCAGCTCAGGCTCACCTGGCTCCAGGGCTCTGTGCCTTGGATAGCCGAGGAAACTTCTGATGAGCCTCCGTTCCAATCAACTGGAATGCAAACTCACCTCCATCTCAGAGCCTCAGTGACCTCGGCCAGCCCCTTCCTCACTTCCCTGGGTCACAATGACTTCCAGGCACAAGGATGCCAAGCAGGTTCTTGTCTTTTCTCTTGAGTGCCAACAGGTCAAATCTGTAGGCTTTGACATAACTAATTACCATCTCTTTAAACTCTCCCAAGGACACTTTTAAAGAAAAGACACAAGATTGCTGCTACAGCCATGTGGGATCGGGAGGAAAGCAGCAAGGATCCCAGGTCAGCGGCGCGGCCGGGCAGTGTCACGTCCCTGCCGCCCTGTGACAGGGCGCACGGCTGCAGGGCCCCAGAGCCTGCAGGCCCTGGAGCTGCCGCACGGATGGACCCGGTTCCCTCCCCGGGTGCCCAGAGGGAAACCTGAGGGCAGGTGTCCACCCCGAGGGTGCACCCAGAGCCCCGGGCACGGATGGAGTCACTGGCCGCTCTCTGGGGACGAGACCCTCCCTGCAGGTGACACTGCCTTGTCCTCTCCCTCCCTGTGGCACAGGCACCTCCAGGCTCCATGACCAGCCTCCTTCCGTCAGCATCCAGGTGCTGTGTCGGAGCCAGAGGGGTCGAGGCTTTCCAGAACCATGGCATCCTTTAGGCTGCAAAAGCCTTCTAAGGCCATCGAGCCCAGCTGCTGCCCCAGCACTGCCAAGCCCCCACCCAAATCAGGTCCCTAAACACCACATCTTGCCATGCTTCAAATGTCTCCAGCAATGGGGACTGCCCTGGGCAGCCCGCTCCTACGCCTGACCACCCTTTCAGTGAACAAATTGGTCCTCAAAGCCAATCTGAGCCTTCCCTGCTGCAACTTGAGGCCATTTCCTTTTGTCACGTCACTTCTTACCGGGGAGATCTCGGCACTTCAACCTTACCTGCTCCTTCCCCGGAGCTCTCTGGCTTGCCTGCATGAGAGGAGAAACACTCCCAGCACAGGAAAGGCAGCTCAGCAGGTCCCACACCGAGGCAGGGGAGCAGCTGTCCTCACCACAGCTCCCGTGTCAGCTCTCACAGATCGGCTCTGCTCTGCCTCCCGGGGGCAGATCTCTGCTCAGCGCTTCAGAATTGCCTGTTTGGAGGAGGGGGAAAAAACAGGTTAGCCAAGATTTTTACCCAGACTTATCTGATGTCTTTGCCTGCTTTGCCTCTTCCTGACTTCCTCCTGCTAAGAAAACAGCTGCCTTTGGACTTCTAGGGGCAACTGCCACGTAATGCTTGAAAAGGAACTACAGGAAAGTGCCTCATTTTTCAAGACTCAGCCAAGAAGACAGACAACTGCACCTTCTCCATCCCCACTGCCTGCAGAGCTGCCAGGCACCAGGCCAGCTCTGCTCCTGCTTCCAGTTGTTCCCAACTCTGCTGCAAGAACTGAAGGCTGCTTTGGCGTTCCATTGCTCCGCTCCTCCCAAAAAAGATCTTTCAGTGCCGTTCTCCCTCCACGGGAAGGGCCCTTCTGTCTCACACGCTCGGTGACACGAGGCTGCGCCAAGCTGCAGCAGCCTCTGCTCCAGCTGGGAAGGGCTTTCTTCCTCCTCTGGCACCTGGCTGGCACAGGTTGCTCACACATGCTGGGGCTGCCCCATCCCTGGAAGTGTTCCAAGGCTCATTGGTGCTCTGGGATCAGGCTCAGAGCAACCTGATCCATGGAACCGTGTCCCTGCCCACGGCAGCAGGCTTGGAACGAGGTGATCTTTAGAGCCCCTTCCAACCTGAATTATTCCATGATTCTATGAACTCAAAAAACTCGGGGAATAAATCTGTAAAGTCACTAAATACATAAAAGCATATCCCCATCAGCATAATTTTGAATGAAAAGTATATCTACAAACAGGGAGAAATATTCTATGTATTTGCTCTTGCTACCTTTCAGGCGTAATTTCAGCTATCACTTCCAGTTTTAAAATATTCTCTTTTGAAATAATAAGCAGTGTTCAAATTTTAGCGTTTTTAGACTATTGCAGAAGCAAAAATTGCTGACAGTCAGGCCGTGTCATTCTTTATGGAGCAGAGCCATTGTGACAGCATTCCTGGGACAGAAATTTTACAGGACGTCATTCCACAGAGAGCACCAAAATCCATATCAGTTGGCAGTTCTGCTCCTCCACATCAGAAAGCTAAACTAGAACAAGCGAAGCCTCGGGATTCACGAATGGCAAGGCACTGAGAGACACGCCTTAATAATATCATTACAATTTCCACAGATCTGCCACCTGATCTGCGGCAGCACAGCACCCTGGCCCAGAGGAAGGTGAGCCTGCCCAGGACAGGGGTGGAACTAGGTCGTTTTCAAGATCTCTTCCACCCCAAACCATTCTGTGGTGTGATGACACAGGAGAGTTGTAAGGGAGAAGAAGGATGAATTCCTTTGGAAGGATCATTGTTTGCCTCTCTAGTAGCAGGCTTTGCTGGCAGGATTGTTTTGCTCTTGCACTGACCTTGGCTGAAGGTGCTTCACCCTGCAGAGAGCGGTGACAGCCTGCTGCACACGCTGTTCTTGGGCAGAGCGCACGGAGCCAGAGGGCAAAGAGCCCCCAGCAGGTCCGTGACAGGAGCGGATGCTCCTCCCCACCTTTGGAAATATCCATTAGGGATTTTTCCAGCAGATGGCAACAGCAGACCGGTGTGGACTGCAAGGGCAGACTCTGCGGGCTGCCTGAAACCTGGCTGGGCTCCACCCAAAGCACCTCTCGGGTCTGCTCCTCCCGCTCCTGGCATTGAGCCTGGCTGGCAGCCCAGGGCATGGTTACTGGAATACAGAATAAATCAGTGCTGCAGGAAACTGCACAACAAGCTCTGCGGCTCTTGCTGTGTGTGCAGGCCTTAAAACACACCTGGTGCATTTGGAACAGATGAAAATTATGGCTCCCCCTGAATAAACATGATTTCTCTCCTAGATATCATTTTGAAAAATAATACTTCAAGGGGTGATCAGAATGGGAGCACAGACAAACACCAAGAATAAAAACTACAGCGTTTGATGCTTTATCAAAAGTTGTGCCTGCCCTACCCTGTCGGGAAGCTGGACTGCTGGACCCAACTTCGCAGCACATTCTTGTCATTGCTTCAGAGCCACCTTCACCAGCTGCTCTCGTGGCATTTGCCGTGCCATTTGCAAATTACAATACGAGCGAACCTGGAAGGCAAAACACAAGATAAATTTACAGCTGGACGGTCAAATCTTTTTCTCCAAAATGCAATCAATGTACAGCTTTCCCCTTAAGCTGAAGTACAGGCCAAATTCATAGAATCACTCAGGTGAGAGAAGCCCTTCAGGCAGTGAAAACGAGCATTTAGGTGTGGTATGAAGCTTGGGGAGCCCTGAAGAGGCTGTAAAATTCGACTGATATTCTTTGGAAATTACAAATAAAAAACGGGAGGAATGAATTTACAATGAATCCAGTGCGGAAACGCCACAAGGGACAGCTTGCAGGGGAGATGCCTGAAAGCCAAAGCTGTGCTTCAGTGGCATCTGAGGTGGCAATTTTGCAGAGTGCCTGTAGACAAGTTTCTTTTCACTGTGAGCAGTGAGCAGCGGCTCAGAAGACCTGGCTGTAAAAAACACAGGTTATTGTCCCCAAGCACATGCCAGTGGTCTGGAAAAGGGTGACACTCGTTGACATGACTGTTGTGATTGCTCAAGGGGAGAGCTCCTCAGTCCTCCTCACTTCACTGATGCTCCCCGTTGGGGCGCAGGTGAATGGCACCACTGGGCTGTGCTTCACCTCCCTGGGTATATTCTGTGCAGGGAACTGCAATGCCATTGCAACTTTTCTGCTCTCACATCATTCTTCCAGAGAAAGACAGTACCTTGAAGGGAAAAGTGCCCTGTCCCTGTCCCACTTCCTTTGTCACTTGTGCTAACCCACAGCACACACTCCCTGCACATGTTATCTGAATGTTAACTCTGTTTACAAGTGCTGTGAATAAACCCCAATCCAACTGAGAAAGTTCCTCTTTGCTCACATTTCAATACAAGGCTGGAACTATCACCTTGCAAAGAACTTTCCTCTACCAGTGCTAGATGCAAAACCAAAAAGCAAACCTAGGAATGCCTGCCACACTCCAGCACACAAAGCTGCTGCTGCTGCTGCTGCTGCTGCTTTTAATGGCTTAGCCTGAGGGCTTTGCTGCTCTTCCTTTGCTCTGCTAATGGGAAGGACTGGGAGACCTCTTTGAACTAGCTACAGATACCAAAGACTGAGTAAACAAGTATTCTTCATCCCATTTCTCTTAAGAGTTTGTCCTGACAGATGTCTTCTCCCTCCTGAGGTTTGGATTATAGTTTGTGTTTCCCTTTTTTTCCCCCTTTAGCCCCTGAAGCATTTCACACCCTGCTGGGCAAATGCCCAGAAGTAATCAGACTGACTGAACAGGGGAAACGCAGACAAAAGAAAAGGCTGGAAGTTACTGTTCTTCTCCCAGCTGGCACCGCCAGCTCCTGAGGGCTCAGCCACGACAGCCCACGTTTGTGACAGTACCTGTACGCTCTGGGTGTGTGCAGCCCTTGCGTCCTGCGGCAGCCTGGAGCTGCAGGCTCAGATATCCACCGCGAGCTCCTGGATCCTCCAGGACAAAGCCAGCTCTCCCTGCTGCTCCCGTGTTGTTCTGCCTGTGGAGCAGGGAGGGAAGGAGAGGCACACAGGTTAGCACAGTGGCAGTGCACGAGCTGCCAGGCGTCACCCATCTGACCCGCACCAAAGAGGAAATCTTAATTTTCAAAACTTCCCATCATGCCACACAAGACACTGAAGCCGTCCAAATCTGGAAGGGATAGCCTGGCATGATGCCTCCCCCAGGTCATATCTTACATCAAGAGTTCTTTTTCTCCTGCACAAGGCTCTATATCCTACTTGGACAGATATACAAATATCTATAGAAACTACAGATATTCAATAAGCAATCTTAAATCATAACAGCCAGGCCTCTGTACGACCGTGCTTAACTCCTGCTCAGCTCACGCCATCTCCCCGTTCCTCAGGCATCAGAAACCACTGAAACTCCCGTGTTTTCCTGGGAGCTGCCTGCCTGCAGCTGCCCTCCTCTCACCAACGGGGCCACCTGCCAGGCTCCCCAGGGCACAGCAGCCTCCAAGGGGAGCATTCGTCTCTTTGAGAGGTGATGGAAAGCCTGGGGAAAAAAAAAGCTCAGCGACACTGTGGCTCTAAAGGTGCAAGAATCATTACCCTGGAGATATGCAGCTCACCTGGTTCATGCTGGGCACGCTCTCTGCTCGCTTCACCTGAGCGTTCAGCTGGAGAGATCCATTTCCACGCACTGGGCTGGCTCCATCTCCGTCCCTGCTGTGAGAAGGTGTTCGGGGGGATGCCGCTGCCCGCTCAGCAGACGCTTCACACACTCTGCCAGCAGCAGGGGCAGCCTTTGAGGCCACACTAGCCTGGCACAGAGTCACTGAGCCATTCTGACTGTGTTAACAGCACCACTGATGAATCCCCATACCCTCGGGCCTTCATTCTCCGGCACCCCGAGCCCCGCGGCTGCGCGGCAAAGAAGGAAAGCGGGCACCGGAAGAGAGGAGCGAGAGCAGGGCATGACAAAGGGCGGCGAGGGAGGGCGGGCTGTGCAGGGAAGCGGGACGGGAAGCGAAAGCCCGCGAGGGGGGTAGAGGGAGGGTGGACAGGGGAGGCAGAAACGGGAAACAGAAAGGGAGCAGGGGGGAAGGGGCTGGACAGGAAGGAGCCGGGCTTGTGGGGGGAGAGGGAATGGGGGAAAGGGAGCGAGAGAAGGCGAATACGGGGAGAAGGAAGGAGGGCGAGAGAGAGGGACAGGCGGGGAAGCCTCACAGAGCCCCGGCTGCACCCCGAGCCCGGCCCGGCGCCTCGCCCTGCCCGGGAGGCTGCGCTCGGGGGAGCTCGGCTCGCTCCGGAGTCACTCGGCTCCAGTCGGCTCTTCAGCTAAACTCAGCTATTGTCGGTTAAACTCGCCTATTGGCGGCCGCATTCGGCTGCATTCGTCCCTTCGGCGCGCTTCGGCCCAACTCGGAGCCGCTCTCTGCGCGTTCGGCTGAGCTCGGCTCGGCTCGCCTCCCCGACGGCGGGCAAGCGGCGCCGCCTCACGTTAAACTCGCCCGGCTCAGGGCTCTCCTGCTGCCGCGTCCTGCGGGCGGCCCGGCCATCGCACCGACACGACCGGGAGCGCGGGGTGGCACAGGAGCTCATTGGGCTGTGACCGCACTCGCGCTAATTAGCGCGCACGAGAGCGGCGGGCTCGGTTCGGCTGAGCTCGGCTCCGTTCAGGCAGCCTCGCAAGCCTGGCCTCGGTTCGCTCGAGCCCGTCAGGTTCGGCCGGTCTCGCCTTGGTTCGGCTGAGCTCGTTCCATTCGGCCGAAGGCGGCGTCGTTCACTCGTGTTCTTATAAATACCTTTCTTTATTGACTGTATATTTCTATATTTAGATTTCTACTTCTGTTATTCCAAATAAAACCTCCGTCTCTAACCAAATAAACACAAAAAAGCCTTCTTTTGAACGATATTGAAATATTTTTATACTTTTGTATAATTAGATTCACATTTATATTCATCGTTTCTTTTGATGCATTATATTCATAATTATATATAATATATAGAAAATTCTAGGAAAGTATTTAAATTATTATTTATATTAGGTATCACATCTACTGCTACAACTAATTTTTTCTTATAGGTTTAAATTTTATATATATCTGTATATATTTATATTTCTATACTTAGATTTCTCCCTTTATATTATTTGTAGTTATAATTTTTACAATCAAAACACTGCCTATTGACAAATGAAAAAACCCACTTTGTTTAACTATTTTAAAAAATATTTTCATGCTTATAATTGTCATCTTTATATTTATAATTTGTTCAATATTACATGAGAACATACCTGCTCCTGCACTGCAGCGGGGCTCCCTCTCCTGGGGTCCTTGGGGTGCCCCAATGGCATCAGAGCCCCGCGTCTTCATCCCCTTCTCCTCTATTTAGAAACTACACTGGAACCTTTTCCTGGAAACAAAGACATTACCTAAATCCTCTCCCCGTGTCCCAGACAGATGGGTATTCAGTTATTAGTTGGCTGGGCAGCAGTTTCTTAAATAGAATGATAAACAGGATGCGAACATTTTAGCTACAAGCAAATAGGCAAATCTGAACAAGGTACTGGTGGCCAACACCAACCACCAAAGTGATTTTGAAGCCATTTTTTAAACAATAAAATAATGATACCACAAAAATTAAGCAAAAAGCTAACTACTGGCTAAGAAAGAAGGAAAAATTAACTTTTGACAGCAACAACGTTCCAACCACACAGGCTTTTTCCCCATGTCATACCTTGTAACTACCTCTCTTGGCAATTCTCATCATGTATCCCAAAAGGAATAAATACCTCAGAGCGTCCTAAAGGAAAAAGTAGCACACGTGAGCTCCTCACACTCCCGGGAGGCCGGCACAGCGTGCACTGAGTCTGCAACAAATTCTGTTCACTGAGGGTCTGCAAACAAAGGTTCAACTGATGAATTGAACTGATTTTAAAGAGAGGTTTTCAAAGCGCTGAAGCACAACAAAGAACAAGCAGAAACAATTCTTAAAAAAAACCTGCAAGTTTTGTTTAGCATATATGCGACTGATTTCCACCCTGTGGCTTCTCACTTGGATTCGTCTGTAGGTTCAGGAAGATGACAATGCACACTCTGCCTTCCCTGAGCCCCCCACAGCAGCGGAGTGCTGCTCCGTGCGCTCAGATCATCGGGAACTGGATTACACGTGCCCGGATGGACCGGAACTGCTCTGCTGCAGATTCAGGAGACGATGGCAGAGAGGGGCTGGCCGAGGCGTCGTCCCAATTCCATTCCTGTGGGACGAAGAGCGGTTTGTTCCCAGCAGCTGCAACAATCCCCAGCTCGCTTCCGTGGTGAGTGCCGATGGCACGCAAATGGCAGCCCGAGGAAATCGTGTTCTGGGCTCTAAGTGGTTGGGACAGGGTCCAATTTTTTGGTTTGTATCTGTATGATGATTAGTACGACAGGGCCCTGATCGATGACGTGACAGCACAGAATTAAAAACTCCTCAATAGGATTACATCGACTTCTAGGAAAAGACAAAAGCCTAGGACCCTTCTGAAATCTACTTTTAATCCAGAGCACACGGATTGTCACCATGCTGCACCTTCCAGCTTTTCAAAGCAGCTTACTTCTGAAGACCAGGAAAACACTGATTTCTACAGAAACAATGGGCAACCCCCAGGCTAATCTCAGCACTACTGTTTAATAGGGGACCTGCCAGCGTGCCAGTCCAGCCTACAGTGTGCTTTATTTCAGTCTAACATCCCCACAAAATTCTTCTCACGTCTCCCAACCCCGAAATCTTATTTTCCCCTAAAGCTTCTCATCATTAGCAATTTCCAAGTAACATGTTTTTTTTACAGCATTCAAAAATGTCATGCTGGACTGTGCTAGAGAGTAATCTGCAAATATAAGCTTAGCAAAGTTTGAACTGACTTGTCCAGAGAAAAAACCTGCAACTGAACACCTACACCTGCCTAAAAAGAGCTAACAAGCCCCTGGCAGCTGCCAGCATCAAAGCACAGTGGATGTTTCTAACACAGGGTAAGGATAACAATATCACCTTTTGTTCTCTCCAGCTTGTTTTCCCTGCAGTCATATTTTGCTTCTTATGATTTTTTTAGTCTCCGTATCTTCGTGGACAGCACCGAGCCTGAAGACAAGGATACGAGAGTCTTTCCCTGCCGTACGGAGAGAGCCAGGAAAACAGTTAAAAAAAGAACAGGGTAGTTTGAAATTCATACTTGCAATGAGAAGCAGCGCCTAACCAACAGAACAAAAGTAAACAAAGCATGATACCTCCTTGGGGACAGAAGACTTACAAACTCTCCAGAATTTACAATTCTAGCGACCATCTCCTTTAGGACAGCAGCCAAGTGTCCTAAGGGGTGGTACTACGCCAAAGAACAATCGGAGAGGCTCCAAAGAGTGAAAAGAACAATATTTTGCAAAGACAAAAAATCTTGCAAAATAACAAAAATGCAATAGATATAAACTACAGGGCAAGAGTAAAAGTGTTACCTTTGGGATCTGGAACCATCCAGGTGAGCAACTGATAACTGGATCCTCAACAGAGTTTGAACCCTTCAGGACACAAAAGGGTTTTCCCCAGAAATTTCACAGACTGAGTTTTGATAGAAGTCACGGGTGCTGCAAAGAAAAAAAACGTGAACCATAAACGCCTACAGTAGATTTTTAAAACAAGTGCTTGGATAAAAGAATCTTACGGAACGTAAAGTAGTAAAAAAGTGAAACCACTATCAGACCTGCCTATTTTCTCACCATTGTACAAGAAAATCCTAAAAGCAGTATAAATTCACTGCCTAAATCCGGTCATGGGATGTAACCAAGAACAATTTAGGCATTTGCTAACCTAGACAGAAACCTTTTCTGGATGCTAGTGTCAAATCACAAGTTTTGTCTTTCAGAAGCTCGAAAATGCTGGAAAACATTTTCCCTGGGGCTCGGGAGGGCAGGGGCGGAAAGGGGTGAGTTTGCACACCGCACCTGTGCCATCCGAAGCATACAGCCAGCCTGCTCCTTGCGCTGGGCATTCTCCTGGCCATCTCTGGGTTTACTGGTCAGCGCTGCTCCATCCGTTTTCATGGAACAAAGAGCCACGAGCACTAACGCGATATCGCAGCGCTCTCTGGTCGCAACGCCCAACACGCGGCGGAGCCGCCTCCGCCCGCAGCACCGGCAGCAGCCCGAGGGAGACGGCTGCAGCTCGGGGGCTGCTGCGCCTCCGCCAGCCCGAGGGTAGCCGCCCCACCGGGATCGCGGGAGCGCCCGGCGCCGCTCGCCCGGGGCGGCTCCTGCAGCTCCCGGCCCGCGGCAGCAAAGCACCGCCCCGCCCCCCGCCCCCGGCACCGCCGAGGGAGGCCGAGGAACCCCGCGGACGCTCCTTCCGCGCTGCTCGGCGCCGTGCGGGCGGCCGGACGGAGGCTTCGCCCGTCCAGCGTCGCCGTCCCGCGCGGGAGAGGCGCCGGGAGCTGCCCGCGCACAGCCCCGCGCGGCCGCCTGGCACGCCAGCCACTCATGTGCCGCGTCAGCCGTTGCGTCACGCGCCGCGCCGGCAGCAGGGCCTGCCGGGAGTTGTAGTCTCGGGCTGACAGCCACGGCTCCGTCCCCCACCACCAGGACCTGCAGTCCCTCCCGGGCATCAAACGGGACCTTCACCCCTGGGCGGGGAAGGACCTGAGGCAGCACCGCTCCTTCCGAATGCCCTCTCTTTTCCCCTCCAACCCTTTTTTCTTTTTTCACTCTGTTTTTCACCCCTTCCCTTCCCTCTTGCTCTCCCGCTTCCTTTCCTTTCCTTTGCCTTTCCCTTTCCCTTTCTTGTATTTTTGATCTTGGTTTACCTTTCTAGCTTTAGAATAAAAAAGCAGCAGTAGAAACTTTCAGGCTACCTGGGAGTAAAAAAAAAAAACTCCAAAACGAAAAGGATTTAAAGAAAACTATTTATTCCCTGGGAGCCTGAAATTTTCTACTGCTGCACGTGACATAGAGCTTTTATTCCTTCTTATAGAGAGTTGATATTTTCTACTTACTTTATACAGCGCCCCCTGCCGTCTGTCCCGGAGCACTGCAGGCACAGCGATCCCTGCCGTCTGCACAGGCGCACTGCAGGCACAGCGCTGCGGCGTTGTTCGGTTCTGTTGAATGAAACTCGGCTGAATTCGGCTTGGTTCGGCTCTTGGTCTAAACTCGTTTCAGTTCGGCTCTTCGGCCGAACTCGGCACGGTTCGGCTAAACTCGGTCATATTGGGCACATTGTCTAAATGCGGCCAGTGCCGGCTACACTCGGCTATCGGTTCCAGTCGGCTATCATGGTCTCTTGGTGTAAACTGGGCTATTTTGGGCCGCCCTGGGCTCTTCGGTTCAAGTCGGCTGTTTTCGGCCACCCTCGGCTCTTCGGCTCTTCGGAACAATTCGGCCCGGCTCGGCTTCCTCAGGGCGGGAAGGAGGCCGTCAGAGGACCCCGGCACAGCGAGGCGTTTAACCCAGATGCCTGGCACAAACCCGCCAAAATACGCCCGCCCGCGGTGCCGCTGAGCCCACACCGTGTGTCAGGTACACATGAAACGCCACAGAAAAATCCGTCGGGGCCGCCATGACGTCGGTATTTCGTGCAGGCAGTCCAGTTACACCCACCCCGGTCCTCCACTTCCCCGCCCTTTTCGCCGCCATGCTGAGAAGGTCAATTAAAAGTCCGCGACATCCGCGACGCGCCACTCCCAAGGTGGCGGCCTCTCGGTGCAGGGCTGCAGTACCGCGCTCTGCCCACAAGGCGGCAGCACTGCCGCACGCCCCAGCCGGGGGCGCAGCGCGCCTCGGGGATGCGGGCAGGGAAGGCAGCGAAAAAGAACAGGGGCGGCCCCCGCCGAAAACTGCTCTGAAATAAATGCCCCAAAACAACCGCGAAGAGGAAAAATTAACTTCTGCCTCTAATCTAATAGGATAAAAGACAAAACAAAACAAAACACAACACAAAAAACAAAAAACCCAATTATTTCTTTTAAAAAATATTTAAATATTTTTTAAAATATTTTTTCATATTAATATTCACATTTCTATTTACAATGTACATTGATGTACACTGTCCATTTATACGTTTCTTTTTATAAATACATTTCTATTCCATATTGCATATATCCCTAAAACTTAAATTTATTTGTGTATTTTTATACGTATTTTTACATGGTAAGTATATATTTCTGTTACGATTTTTACTTCTGTAACACTTGCATTATTTAAAATAAAACCTTTGCCTCCATCCACATTAAAGCCAAAAAGAACCCCTTTCTTCTCAACTGTATTTAAATATTTTTTAAAATTCTAGTTTTCAGGTTCATATTCACATTTACATTTAAAATGTACACTTATGTATGCTGTTATTTGTATTCTTCATTACATCTCTTCCTATTATTTGTATTTCTTTAGATTTTGTGTTTATATATATATTTAGATCTTGATTGTATATCTCAATATTTAGAAATATGACAATAATATCTACATTCATATTATTTAAAATAAAAACCCTGCCTCTAAACACAATAAGAATAAATAAAACCCCAACCCTTTTTTTAAACAATATTTAAATAGATTTTATCCTTATATTCAATTTTTATATTCATATTTGTATTTATAATGTATATTAATGTCTATTGCTTACTTATACATTTATCTTTACCAATGTCAAGTTAAAAATAAATTTATATTCTATATTACATCTGATGCGAGTAGTTATTTATGAATTTTTATATATTTTTATTCATATTTTTTATATTGATTAAATATTTCTGCCTCAAGATTTTTACGTCTGGAACACTTATAATATTCAAAATAAAACCCCAGCCTCTACTTAAATAAAAGCCAAAACATTCCCTTTCTTTTAAGCTATATTTACATATTTTTATATTTATATTCCCATTTATAATTTACATTGCCGTATAATGTTATTTACATTCTACACTACAACTCTTCATGTTACTTACATATATTTATATATAAATTTATATTCATATTTTAGCAATTTCTCTTTATATATTTATTAAATATTTCTATCTTAAGATCCACATTTCTATATTACTTATATTATTTCAAATAAAACTCCTGCCTCTAACCAAATGAAAAGCAAGGACACCCCTTTATTTGAACCAGATTTAAAATGTAGGAAGTAAATTTATTTTTCAAAATTATAATGATATTCATATGGATATTTTTATTTATTTTATTCATAGATATTATATATATTAGAGAGAATACCTTCTAATATAATAATAGATCTGTATTTTCTGTATTATAGATTTCTTTTACTTATATTTATTTAAATTAAACATTTCTAGAGATTTGTATTTGTATATATATTTGTATATCTGAATTGATATTTTATTTCTATCATTTATTTAAAAACCCCAGCCTATAACCTAGTAACACCCCCCCATTTAACTCCATTTAAATATTTTCATATTAACTATCTACATTTATATATCTTTGTGTATATATATATATATAATAGACTATCATTTATCTATATGATGTTACAATTATATACCACGTATTACAGTTTTATGTATGTATCTGTTATCTATATTTATGTCTACCACTCTAATGTTATATGTATTTTTAAATGTATATTTATTTCTATTTTCATCTCTATATTAAACCATACAAGTTCATTAACCCCACGCACCAGAACCACAACAATACCGTACCTTTGTCAGCACCGGCACCCAGCACGCGCTCGTCCCATCCCAGTGCATCAAAACAAAACCCATTGCTATTACTAACGGAACAAACGTCCCACAACGTCATTGAACCCTAATAAAAACTCAAATAAACCTAACTGTCAATAAATTTTACATCCCACTATAAAGTAGCCCAAAACCTCCGCACATTCTCATCATAAACTTCCTCCTAAACCACTATCTCAAAAACCCCAAAAAACTCAAATACACCTTGAAAATGACACAACTGCTAATAAAAACAAACACCCAGTAAAAATTAAATCAAACCAACTCACGAGACTCAAAACTGTACAACTGACCCTGAACAGTACTAAAAAAAGTCCCCAAAGCTCTACCTTTATGCTAATGCACAAATAATAACCTATCATCTAGAAAAGTTACTTGAAAAAATTAAAAAAAAATAATTAAAACCATGAAAATAAAAAACCTAAACTATTAAAATACTAAAAAATATCACTACCTAAATTAAAAAACGTATTGCCTATAAAAACCCACCATATAAATGCCCCTGTCCCAAAAAATAAAAAAAATTATCGAACCAGAAAGAAATCAGAACTTAGGAACACTAAAACCATAGCGTTCAAGAAGTCACACCACATCCCTTATCATACACCAACTACAAACAACAGAAAACAATACAATGAATTCTTAAAAACCACCTTAAAACCACTACATTGAAAAACCTTTCAAAAATTAAAAACTGCATTTAACAAAAGCCATCTCATAAATTCACACCCAAAACTCCAGCAGCCCAGCTGGCCCTACCAAAGCTCTATGTTTATACAGACAGCAAACACAAACAAAAACAAAAAACAAAAATCCCAGTAAAACCGATCAGAAATCTATGAAAGAATCCCATTGAAATTAATCCTGCCTCAAATACAA